GATACCCATTGTGAGGACGTCTCAAAGCACTCCACAGGCTCTCCGCAGGCACTCTGCAGGCACTCCACAGGACATACCGCAAAGTGCGGAGACTACGTACTTATCAGGTGATCGTCTCCTGTCACTTGTGTTGTGTCAGTTACGCTGGGGTCAATAACGCCCGAGTTATTTAGCCATTTATTTGCGCGGGGAAGCAAATGATGATTTTCTGGATTCCCAATTTATCTTTTTGTTAAGAATTCTGCGTTCGAAAGAAATCAGAAAAATCAAACCAAGCTTTCCCCATTTACATTCTAACACCCTCAACGTGTGCTAGATAGAGAGCAACGTTCAACAACAGAGGTCAAAACTCAGCTGTCACTTTGAATGCCCCAGTCTAGAGCACAACCTGTTGGGTTACCAGTATGGGTTGAGTTGGGCCATTTGTTCCATTGGTGATCTTCCAGACAATCTTTGTTCTCTGCATCTAAATCTTTGAATATTTTGGAGGCTTAATGTGTCATTGAACATCTCCTTAAACCTTTGACATGGCTAACTCATTTCCTAAAATATAGCTCTATCTGTTCCACAGTTGAAACCTCCTTGTCTTGTTTTTATTGTACTTATTTGGGAATTGCCAAGGGCTCCCTTCTCTCTAAACTGGTCGAGGCTCCTACTGCGCTCTCGTTCACAATTTTACCCACAAATAGCTCAGCGTTAGTCTTACAAAAATGGATGTTACACCATGACATTATCACTCATTTCATCTATGTACCCTAAAGGAAGGAAAGGAAGAAGGGAGAAAGAGAGAGAGAGAAAGAGATAAAGAGATAGAGAGAGACAGATAAAGAAAGAAAGAGAGAGAAAAAAATAAGGAAGGAAAGTGCAGATGATCAGGGAATGAATGCGATTCCAAGCTGTTTTTGGATCAATCACATTGTGTATTATGCACACACCAGCCCCAAAGTAATACATTACTCTATACATGTCGGTAACCCAGCCTCGACCATCTGTGCTTTGTATTGAGCTCAGCCAGGATTTCCAGGAAGACATTCATAGATCTAAAAAAACACACAACACACCAGCGCAATATGGGAGCAAATTGAGTTGAAGGAGATCTAAATAATGCAATACAAGCAGTAATTGGGCTTGCAAACATAAAAAATCTAAATATCTAACCTCGGGAGGAGTGAATAGAGGGAAATGATTCAGTCAGACTTGTTCATAGGAATGAACAGATTGCACAGGCTGCAAGCCTGGAATCACTTCAAGCCACTAAGCCAATGGGGAGGGGGAGGAGGTTAAGTTATATATATAAAAAAATTTGCTCAATCCATGACTGTTTGTGGGATGCTACTGTGCGCAATTGGCTGCCGCATTTCGCCCACAAAATATATAGTCAATTCACTTTACAGTATATTTTGTGAAGCGCTTTGAGAAGTCTCAACGATGTGGTAAGGTACTATATCAAATGCAAGGATTATTTTTTAGTATTAAGTTGATCTCAAGCTTCAAGATCAAACCATCAGAACCCCCCCCCAAGTCCTTAAATTATAGCTCTGGCCTGAAAGCCGCCATCCCTGGTCTCAGTTGTTGTGGGAAACAGATATTTAGATCTATGGATCTATGTTTTCTGATTGTGTGAAACTAGAGTCTCTCTTTCTTTCTGCTGTCTGTCGTGTTGATCTCGAGCAGCTGAATATTATGTGTTCTCTACCCAACAATTCACCAGAGGCTATTAATCTCCATTGCAGCGTATTACTGCAGAGAGCAATTTGAAGCAGATTGTAAGGGGCGGGGGGGGGGGGAGCATCTATATACACACTGTATATTGTAGTGTACAGTGTATATTGTGTGTATTGCAGTATAAATAACTGAAGGTGGTAGGCAAGAGGAACCTTGCAACAACTCTCAGGTCAATAACAACAATAAATTACATTTGTATAGTGAGGACATCGGGAGGACGTCCCAAAGTGCTGGACGCTCAGGGTTTTGGATCTGGACAGCTGGAGCGTTGAGATCAGGATGGGTGGAGGGCAGGGAGTGTGGGTGTAAGAGGGTGACCAAAGGCCAATGAGGAAGGTCTTGAGACGGGACATGAAGGAGGCAAGGAAGGGAGCGAAGTATGTGGGATGGAGTTCCGGAGCTTGGGACAGAGAGGCTGAAGGCCCGACTGCCGATGGTGGGGGGGAGCAGGCCAGAGTCCACTGAGAGATAAATGCAAACTACATCTATAAGTTCATATTTAATCATAATCATCCTTGCATTGGATACAGAAGCTTTCATGACTATTTTAAAAAAGAAACGTGATAGCCAATTTACGCACAGGAATGCCCCCCAAACAGCCATGAAGTGAATGAATGATTTATTCTGGGGGATTGGAGGTGGAGATACTCCCTTCTCTGTTCAAGTCGTGCCATGAGACCTTTAACCTCCAATTGAACAGGCACAGATGAAAGCTCGGTTTGACATCTCATCTGAAGGATGGCACCTCGAACAATGCAGAGCTCCCCTCAGCCCTGCGCTGGAGTGTCAGCCTTCAAAATCATAGCGTTCCACATAGCGTTCAAAGTCCCGATGTAGGGATTGATCCCACAACCTTCTGTCTTGGGAGTCAATAGTGCTACCAAGTGAGCCAGGTTGTCACAAGACCCCATTCAAGAGATAGTTCATTCATATTATATATAGCTGGAAAAAAAGAAAATCCACTCGTGTCTAAAGCCAATAAATGTAAAATGAGGCATGTTAGACACCCCCACTTCATCATAAATAATGCCAGGCTAAAAAGGACCTTAGAAAAAGTACAGGTTTCAGGCCAGGGTAATTTAAGGTACTTGGCAGGGGTCTCTGACTTGATCTTGCAGCTTGAGATCAACTGAACCCAAAGTCAATGTACTCAAGTTTAATTCAAAATCTACACTGAGCGCTCTGAAATGCCGCCCGGCTTGGGGGGCGCTATATAAATGCAAGATGTTGTTGTTGTTGCGGGTTGAATGCCTGGCAGAACTGTGGACAAAGAGGCGTCTTGCTCACTATGCTCACTTCCCCAGCGTTGGAAAGCTTACGCACATGTGCACCTATGGAGACACCATGGGTATCAAACAAGGGCGATTACAGTAGGAGGAGGAGCAAGAATTCCCAATGGGTCAAAGCCTCCACCTTTGCTGCATTTTCTCTACTGCTTGGTATATCCCAGGCTTACAACACAGACCCGAAATTCTACCTTGGCTCAGCCTACGAGTCCAGTTTGTGGAAAATTCTTAAATTCGGCCATAAATTGGAACCTAAGTTGTCCACAGTTCCTATTAATAAACAAAATACTAAATCAAGACTGAGTTTAAGGACTTGTCACAATGTGGCACAATCTATGGATATTAAAATGGCTACCCTCTTAAACCTGACAGGCCTTTTTGGAACTCAAGTGTTTCAAGGCCGAAACCCAATTTGTTCTAAACATTTGAATGCAGATGCACGAACCACTGGCAATTACAAGACTGCAAAGCAATAATCCACAGACAGTGAGCCTAATGAGGATTAACACAGCAAACAAGACAACTGCAATACTATTTAATTGCTCTCATTGGACTTGTCTTTCACATTACAATAAAGTTTCACTTCAACTTCCCAACACATTTGCTCTGACTCATCATTGTGCTTGTGAGTAAACATATATTTATATATGATGAACTATTGTTGAGGATTTTTGGTTATATTATTTTAGATTTATGTTCATTAAATCATTTGCTGCCTCTAAATGTGTCCAGCATATGTTTGTTCCTTCTCTCTCTGTGTCTGTCTCTCCCTCCCTAGAATTTGATTTCTTCTTCACTGCAAACTCAATCTTCACCAGCGATGAATTTCAAGACGAGTGTAACTATTTAGTCTTGCAGCCTATGAGTATGAAATTTTAGGCCTCCCACCTGAACACCACCAATAAATTCCATTCATATAGCACTTTTCACGTCGAGAGGACGTCCCAAGACCCTGGCTGGAAAATCAAGGGTTTGCATCCGAGCTGTGGTTGGGATCAGAGAGGAGGTGGAGGGCAAGAGGGGTGGTCGTGGGAAGATGACCAAAAAACACAGTCGAATCTCAATCTTTTCAGTAGTACGCAATTTTACAAGACTCTCTTAACTCTGCTTTTAAAAATATAGAAACCATTCAGCCCCTCGAGCCTCTTCCGCCTTCCATAAGATTACGGCTGATCAGTACCTCAAGTCCAATTACCTGGCCTTGCCCCAATACCCTGACCTAACAAATATCTATCCACCTCAAACATTTTTTTCCCCACTGGGGAAAACCGGCTTCCAAATTTAAGGTTGAGTTCCAGAATTTCTCCACAATTCTGCTCTCTTAAATTATAAGGCAAAGATGGGCTCAAAGGCTAAGACCGAGGAGAGAATTCTCACTAAAGAAACAATTGTAATATAGTAAAACAAATAACTGCAACGTTTAAACCAGTCTTCTGACTGGTCTATTTATTAATAATTAATAACAATAATAATCCTCGCATTTGATATAGCGCCTTATCACGTCTTCGAGACGTTTTGAAGCGCTTCACCGAATATATTGTAAAGTGAATTGATCGTTTTGCGGGCCAATTTTGCACAGCAGACAAACAGTGGTGGATTGAGTGACCAAATTTTTTGAGGGGGAGGGGAGGGGCTCGGAGGATTATTACCCTCGGAAAACAATCACAATTATGATTATAATTACAATTACAATTATTGAAACAAATAACCAATCTATTAACAACCAATCAGTTAATAAATTAATAAGTTAATAAACAATTAATTAATCAATAATTAGCCAATCGACTAACAACCGGGTTCCTATTTACTGCTAGGTGAACAGAGGTGTGAGGAGTAAGGAAATTTGCCTAATCAGACGGAGTGTATAATGGGAGGAGGGCGTGGGGCAGGAAGGAAGAATGGGAGGTAATAAATATTGGATACACCCGAGTTCGTCAACACAGCACTAATCAAGACATAGAGACGAAGCTAATTGCTCATTGAACGTACGGTCACTGTTGCTCCTCTCTGTGGGAGCGCTGTCTGCCTCAGTCGGCTCGTCAATTTGCTGTGGCTCAGGTTCCTGCTGGTTCGCGATGGGCTCTCTGTAGGGTGGAGGCAGCCGCATGGGCGGAGGTGGACCACCTCCATCAGGTCCCAATTTCTAAATCAAACAAAAGGGGGAGAGAGGAAGAGCTATTAGAAGATAAACATACGAGCGAGAGCGAGATGCATTTTAAGTGAACACATTAGAAATTGAGCAAGGCAATACGGCTTCCAACTTCTGTTCCACATACAAGAAACACAAAGTACTGGGTCGCCTGCTTAACAATGACACCATCATTCACCATCACACTAACCATTTCCGAGCAGACATGAGAGCATTTTACAAAGCAAGACAAGGGCATAGCAGATACATGCAAAAGCATGGTTCGGGGCAGGTTGTGAGACGTTAGTTGACAGCACTGGGAGCAGGGAAGGTGGTGTGTTGGGTGGGGAGGGTGTGGGCGGAGTGGGAGGGAGGGGGGGGAGGATTCGAATTATGAACCAGCTGCCCTTTCAGACCAACATGGCTTCTGCAAACATAATCAATGAGATTCAATTAAGGCTGTAATAGTACAAAGCCACTAATGGCCGTGTACATTACCAGAAGTGCAGATAAACCCATTACGCAGGGAGGCATGATTTTTTTTTGTAGCAGAGTTCTCAGAGGAGGTTTAACAAGGACATTCAAGCTGGTCATCCCTCTCAGAGCTTCTCCTAACCACTGCTGCAGCATCTGTTGAGATATTCTGGGCTGTGCAGTCAGGCTGATAAAGAAGCTACCACAACAACAACTTGGATTTATATAGTGCCCTCCACGCCGGACAGCATCTCAGAGCGCTTTACAGTAATGGATCCTGGGACCGAGCCAGGGGGAGGGAGATGAACCAGGGGGAGGGGGAGGAAGGTGACCAAAGGGGCGGTCGAAAAGAAAGGTCTTCAGCAGAGACCTGAAAATGGGAAGGGAGGGAGCGAGGGGAAAGGAGTGAGGAAGGCAGTTCCAGAGCCTCGGGGCATAGTGGCTGAAGGCACGGCCGCTGAAGGTGGAGCGGAGGACTTGGGGGGACAAGGAGGAGGCCAGACCCGGAGGAACGAAGGCAACGGATACTGTGCTGAGGAGAGAGGAGGTCAGAGAGGTGGTGGGGGCTCTTGTGAATAATCATGTGGATCTGATGACCGGAAGTTCCCATTGATTGGAAGATCACAAATGTAACGTCGCTATTTAAGAAGGGTGGGAGACAAAAAATGGAGAACTATAGACCAGTTAGTCTGACATCGGTGGTAGGGAAAATTCTAGAGTCCTTAATTAGAGACGTCGTCGTGGGGTACTTAGAAAATCATAACATGATTAGGCAGAGTCAACATGGCTTTACGAAAGGGAAATCATGTTTAATAAATCTTATAGAGTTTTTTGAGGATGTAACTAGCAGGTTAGATAGGGGGGAACCAGTAAATGTGGTGTATTTAGATTTCCAGAAGGCATTCGACAAGGTGCCACATAAAAGGCTGTTGCATAAGATTAGAGCCCATGGAATTAAAGGTAATATATTAGCATGGATTGGAGAGTGGCTAACAGGAAGGAGAGTAGGGATAAACGGGGCTTTCTCAGATTGGCAGGATGTGACTAGTGGAGTGCCACAAGGATCAGTGCTGGGCCTCAGCTATTTACAATCTATATCAATGATTTAGATGAGGAAATAGAACTTAACATTTCTAAATTTGCGGACAATATGAAGATAGGTTGGAGAGTAAGCTGTGAAGATGACACACGATGAATGCAAAGGGAAATAGACAGGCTAGGTGAGTGGGCAAGAAGGTAACAGACGGAGTATAACGTGGGGAAGTGTGAAGTTGTTCACTGAGGTCGTAAAATTAGAAAAGCGGATTATTTTGTAGAGAGAGAGACTGGGTCGTGTTAGTGTTCAGAGGGATTTGGGTGGCTTTGTACGCCAGTCACAAAAAGTTAGTATGCGGGTACAGTAAGCAACTAGGAAGGCTAATGCCATGTTGGCGTTCGTTGCAAAAGGGTTAGAAAACAAGAGTAGTCTTGCTGCAGTTGTATAAGGCCTTGGTGAGACCGCACCTGGAATATTGTGTGCAGTTTTGGTCTCCTTATATAAAGGACATACTCGCCTTAGAGGGGGTGCAGCGTAGATTCACTAGGTTGGTTCCTAGGATGAGGGGCTTGACCTATGAGGAGAGGTTGAGTATATTCTCTAGAATATAGAAGAATTAGAGGTGATCTTCTAGAAATCTGTAAGATTCTTAAGGGGCTTGGCAGGGCAGATAATATGAGACTGAGAATGTTGCAGAATCTAAAACTAGGGGTCGTAGTCTCAAGATTAAGGGTCAGCCTTTTCAAACTGAGTTGAGGAAACATTTCTTCACTCAAAGGGTAGTGAATTTGTGGAATTCCCTACCCCAGAAGGCCGTGTATGCTCAGTCCTTGAACATATTCAAGACTGAGGTTGATAGATCTCTAAAGGATAGACGGATTAAGGGATATGGAGATTGGGCGGGTAAATGGAATTAGGTTATAAGATCAGCCATGATTTTATTAAACGGCAACGCAGGCTCGAGGGGCCGAATGGAATACTCCTGCTCCTAAGTCTTATGGTCTTATCACGAGCATTAGCACGGCTCATGCTGTCACTTCAAACAAGGTTCCTTTGATGAGGAGTCCCAATGTCAGGACACGTTCCAGCAAGCGGGGGTGAAGGTCACACCAACTGCCAGAGATTCCCGCATGGCACCAGAGTAGATTTCCCACAAGTTTCTTTGTGCTCTCGGATAGGGAACTCATCCAATTCAATGGGACAGTGGGTAAAGTCAGGATAGCAGCAATTACATGTGGACTGATCACTTGGGAACATAGGAAAACAGGAGAAGCAGGATGCCATTCAGCGCATCAAGCTTGTTCCACCAGTTTATTAATCCCAGCAGAAACAAAACCACCTTACATACTGTTTCAGAGCGCAAACAACTTACATTTATATAACGGCCTTCCTGCAGCATACTGTTTCAGAGCGCAGTACAGTAGCGTGTAGGATACCGGGAAAAGTTGAAGGGGAAGGACAAGGTGCATCAGCGTGGTCAAAGAGATTTACTGTAAAGTACACAGCAAAGTCTCACAAACAGCCATGAAGTGAATGATCAATTTTATCTGGAGAATTGTTGCTCAGGACATCGGGAGAAACTCCCTTCTCTTTTCAAATCGTGCTGTGGAATCTTTAATGCCCACCTGAACTAGCACAGACGAGGACTCGGTTTATAGTCTCATCCAAGCTCCCCCTCCCCAGCAAGGCCTTGGAGCATCAGCCTGGACAGTGAGCTCACAGTTTCAATGTGGGGCTTGATCCCATCACCTTTCAATTCAGACGGAAGACTGCTTCCAACTAAAACAGGGTGGTGTCCCATATTAACGGTGGAGTGGGACTAGTTGGGGAGCTCTTTCAAAGAGCCGGCACAGGTATGATGGACCGTGACCTCCTACCGTGCTTATAGGGTTCTATAATTTAAAAAGAAATACAAAATGGAAACTGAGGAGAACTCACAATAGCTCCCCCACCACCGCGCCCACACACCGCAGCTGCAATCTGGCAAAATAATATCATAAAGGGTAAACTTCAGAAGCTGTCAGAAGCAGTCCGTCCCCACTTTGAGCGACAGACGATGAAGCTTTTATTTATTGTGTTCACCAAGCTACCTTTCATTGGCTACAAAAAAAGTCATTCCCCTGCACCCCCAACCACCACCGACGTTCGAGTGGTTGCTTTGATCATCTTGACAAGCGTTGAAGACATACTTGGTTCTCGCGTGGTTACAATTGACATTTCTCACTGACAATAATGGTTTAATGTGACGGGGGTGGGCAGATTGCTCAGCAGCTCACAAATCACACATTGCAACCAGTCACTCAAAGACAACTCCCCGCGAGGACTCAGAGCCAACATCAGGCGTCAAACTCCTTCTTGTGAGGAAAGCATTTTCAAGATGCCCACCGCTGCACACACTAAAATATCATTAACTCTTGTCTCAGCAAATAAGAATGTTTTCAACTCTTCTTGCAGCAGCCAATTTTGCACAGCAGACAAACAAAACCAGATATTCATTTTCCAATGTTGCTTTCTTCCACTGCATTCGACAATAACAAATTCTACTTGTATTTATATCGCGCCTTTCACGTCGAAAGCATGTCACAATAAGCTGGTTTATGGTTTATGAGAGAATTCAAGGTTAACGAGAAAATTTGTTCATCGTGTAAAACAAAGTGAGGTGGGGGGAGCAGGTGGGGAGAGGGTGTCACAGAGAGAGGATGGAGCAGCAGATTACAGACAGGGAACTTGCTGGTCTCTCTGTATTCAGAGGGTAAATTATCCCCAGCCCAGCCTTCCCAGGGTAAGGAAGGGCAAAATCAGCCAGGGCTCCTACTCCTGGTCCCTCATGTATGTGTGTGACAGCTACTGTCTGTCTGTCTGTCGGTCGGTTGGTCTAGGAAGCGAGTGAGAAAACTTTAATAAAGTTGTACCTTATAGTGTGTCAACCAGGCTAATTCCACGGTCTTGCTTCCCCCCACCTCTCCGACCTCCTAACCCCCTACGACCCTGTTCGCTCCCTGCACTCAGTGGGCTCTGGCCTGCTTCCCTTCCCCTGCCTTGCTCGCCCCACTATCAGTGGGCAGGCCTTCAGCCACTCTGCCCACCCTCTGGAACTCCTTCCCGCAGTCCCTCCATCTCGTCCCCTCCCTCACCACCTTCAAGATCCACCTCAAGAATCTCCTCTTTGACCGTGCTTTCGATCTCCCTGCTTCCCCCCCATGCCCTCCACCCTCCCTGACCTTCAGCTTTGGTCCGCAACTCTGTCTTTCCAGCGCCTTGGGACGTCCTCCCGATGTGAAAGACGCTATACACATGTAATTTTGTTGTTGTTGTTGTACGCTCCAGTACAGTGCTGGGAGAGAAAGTGAGGGGAAGCACTGCATTGTCAGAGGTGCCGTCCTTCAGATGAACCATCACACCAAGGCTCCATCTGTACCTGCTCAGTTGGATGTTAAAGGTCTCGTTGAACTATTCAAAATGAGGAGGGATTCTCTCCTGTCCTAACTAACAATCCTCCAGATTAAAAAGAAATTAGTCATTCACATCAGGGCTGTTGTGGGGCAATGCTGCAGGCAAATATGGCTGTCGGGTTCACCTACAAATATGCAGTCACTGTACATTATAGTAAAATCCTGTGAAGCGCTTTGAGATGCATCGGTGATGCGATAAGGCTCTGTATCAATTGCAAGGATTTTTTATTAAGTGTTTCAAGATATTACCTTCAATATTTTTTTGCTCTCGCCTCCCTTTCGCTCATCTTTACTTTGATGTATGGAATTGGGCTGCGGTAAAAAAAAGCCTAAACATTAGATGAGAGATTTAAAACATTGCAAATTGGCTGCTCCCTTGGCGTGCAAAATACACAATCTCAATAGTCAGCAGTAATGAAAGGGAAACGCTTCAAGATATTTTGTCGTGATAAGGTGCTACATCAAATGCAAGGTTATTACTTTTACAGAATTGTCAATAAAGTCCGCAGAACAATGCAAAGCATACATGACACAAAGTGTCGCGATGCAGGAGCTAAACTGGTTCTCTAGTGGTTGAGGCCAGGGTACTGGGACTCATTTAAAAAGCAGCTTGATGCTGTGATATGAGGAAGGTAAGGACCGATCTTGTGATCATTATTACTCACCCTAGGAGTGGACAACAGGCTCTGGACAACAAAGATCACGGGGTTTCCAGCGTTCTTTATGGCTTCTACTGCATCTTCGTGTGTGGCATTCTGCAGATCGGCGCCAGAAACCTGCAACACACCGCAGCTCAGTTACACAGTTTTCTGCGTTCCTCTCATCTCACTCCTGGCAACGGTACCGAGCCAATGTCTCATCAAGTCTCACCTTTCTTTCCTATCTATGTGCCTGTCTCTGTGTCCATGTATCCCATAACATTTTTATTCAGGGTTTAGGCAGTACAGCGGCTATCTGCCCTGTTCGTGCAAGAGTGGCTCAGTTGGCAGCATTCAACAACAACAACAATTTGCACATAAGCACGGTCGAAGAGGAGGGTGTTCAGGCGTGATGCGAAAACGGGGAAGGAGGGCAAGGCGGAGGAGTTGAGGGAGAGAGTTCCAGACTTTCGGGATGATGTGGAGCGGAGGGAACAAGGGACGAGCAGGAGGCCAGAGCTGTTGAGTGGAGGCGCCGGGAGGTGGCTCAAACCACCCTCCCCTGTGTAAAATTCTCAATGTATCTCAGTCTTCACTGTTTATATCTTCAATTACAAATGTCTTTACCCCGCATGCATTTCAGGCGTACAAACGGGGCTTCCTACCTCAATAATTTTGTCCCCAGTCCTCAGAGCTTTGCTTCTTCCAGCTGGACTCTCCTCCAGGACGTGTTTTATGAAAATCCCTTTCAATTCCTCCCCATTTTTCAGACGTTTGATGACTGCTTTGCCACCAACGATACTGATTCCAAGCGACTCCCCTGGCACTCGCCAGACCTCCACCCTGGAACGAAGATGGATTCAGCTCGAGTTGAAAACCCTGCTTTGTATCATCACCACCACCACCAACAAATTACATATTCACGTCAGGAGGACGTCCCAAAGGACGCTTTACTTTACCGAGTGAAGTTGGCACAGGGGTTTACTGTTTTTCAAGATGTTATCCTGTTTATTGAACTTAAAGGTGCATCAACTTGACTCAGTTGGTAGCGCTTTCGCCATTGAGTCAGAGGATTGTGGGTTCAAGCCCCGCATTGGGACTTCGAGCTCGCAGCCTAGGCTGACGTCCCTTTGCAGTGCTCAGCATTTTCTGAGGTTCCAAGTCTCCAGTGAGGTCCTGTCTGTGCTTTTCGAGGTGGACGTCACAAGATCCCATGCTCAGACTGATGCCGGCCATCAATCCCTCAGACAGATTAATCAGGCACTTTGTGGCTGTTTGGGGGCCACTACTGTGGTTGCACTTTGTACAAATGCAGTTACTACGCTTTAAAACTCAAGAGAAGCGCTTTGAGATATATCAAGTGCAAGATTATCTAAAAGTAAAACTGGCAGCTGTGTTCGCCTACAAAATATGCAGTCACAACACTTTGCTCTTTAAATCCTGTGAAGTGCTTTGAGACAACTTTGTTAATTATTCATTGCTAACTTTTGATCTACGTCAACAACAGATGATAGTTCCACAGCGCCTGCCATTCACGTCAGGAGGATGTCCCAAGGAGCTGGACAGTCAGGGATCCACGCCCAAGCTGGTAGTTGGAGGGCAGGGAGGGTAAGGGTAGGAGGGTGACCGAAGGCACGGTCGAAGAGGCGGGTCCCGAGACGGGTCTTGAAAGAGACGTCCTCCCAACATGATATGGCGCTGTATCAAACACGGGATTATAGTGATTAGAATTACTGATTAGTATGTGATCCCTTCTTACCTCCGTGGTGGCTCCCAATGGCTCAAGACTGGAGTTTCTTCCCCTTCGCCCGCCTCTCGCTCGGGCAGCTCACTGCTCAGACAGATAGGGGAATGTTGAAATGCCAAACAGCACTTATTTCAGCACAACAGCAATTACCTCTAACACAAATTAAATCACTTGTATTCCGAGAACTGGAGAGATTAATTCTAATCATTATATTTTCATATCTAAATAACCAAATAACTTACAATCAGATACCTGATATCATCAGGTCAACACATTGTCAATTCAGCACCAGTAGCAATAGCCAGACAGCTTAGCCGGCGGAGGAAACATGAACGTGGTAATCGATTCTCTAAATCAGTGGAAGTGACAAGAGAATACTGATGATGAAATGTGAAGCTCAGTGAGCACCGTTAAGTGCAGATCTTGACCTTTACTGTGAGCGCAACGGTGTGGCCTCTGTGAGTGCGATCCAGTTCATCTCCACTCCAAGACCTGCAGTTGATGTATTCCATTTGCTCACTCATGACAGAGAGTGTGCTTACAGAGAAAAAATTAATGCTCTTTTTGACATGCTCGGTTAATGCTCCCCCCCATGTAGCACAAATAGTATTACCATATTGTAAACACACACCCAAGGCTCCATGTTTATTACTACAGACATTATTATGGTTAATTCTTCACTCAGTTCATGATATTCATATATATATTATATATATACACATAAAATATAAAGTAAACATGTATGTGTTTGTGATGTGTCTGTGATGTTTCCCAGATAAAACTGGTCACTCTATTCACGGTTGTTTGTGGGACGTCACCCTACCCTGCGTGATGGGCACTATACAAATGCAAGTTGTTGTTGTTGCTGTGGGCAAAATCGGTTTGTCCCGTTCGCCTACAAAACACATAATCACCAGACTTTATAGTCAATCCTGCAAGACACTTTGAGGTGTCCTCCCGACATGAAAGGCGCTGTATCAAATACATGAAACGCGCTGTATCAAATACAAGAATTACAGTGAAAACCTGCGATTGAATGTATCTTCATGGCCTTTGGTGTTGGTATTGGGTTTTGGAAGTGTGTGTTTCAGATCAAGGCATGATGATAAAGCATTAGTACTGATAACGTCCAGCTCCCAGCCCTTGCAACATTTAGAAGCTGTTGTGCAAGCGACTGCCAGGACGGATAGTGGAAGGCAAACTGGATGGACCTTGATTTTCTTTTGTCGAGCAATTCTCATGTTCTATAGAGATACGTTTTGTTAAACACTGAGATTTTACGATCGATTAATCTATAATAACAGTCTCAGTTCTGATTTTACGGGTATGCTGCTGTGCAACGGATCCCTCTACTTCCCCCCGGTTTAAGTAAATTTACATCCAAGGATGTAATAAATTAAAGCACAGAGCGTGGTTTGCTGGTTGTAAAGTAAGGCTGCTTAGTTACCACAAAGTGACCTTTACCATCAATTCTGAAGCCCTTAATAAGTCACTGAAAGAACTTCCAAACAGCAGCCCATATTGTGGACAGGACAGAAACAAGAAACCAGGAGAAAGGCGAGGTATTCCAGATTAACTGAGTGATGAATGAGCTTAGTTGAAAATGGATCCTTTCCAGTTCCAAAGGCTACTGTGAAGTAAAGCGTTTCCTTTTAATAACCCTTGCATTTAATATTGTGCATTTTGCGTCAGGAAGACATCGCAAGGCACATCACACCATTTTCTGTAAAGTGCAGTGACTGTGTATTTTGTCAAGCAAATGCAGCAAACAAGTTGCATACAGCCAGGTCCCCGCAAACCGTCGTGAAGTTAATGATCGATTTTATTTGTGGAGTAGGGGGATCCATTACAAGGGGTCGTAGCTTCAAAATCAGAACCAAGACAGTTGGTACTAATAATATTTAATAATAATCCTTGCATTTGATATAGTGCCTCATCAGATCTTCGAGACATCTCAAAGCACTTTACAGAATATACTGTAAAATGAATTTTCCAGAGCCCCGAGGCTCTGGAATTCCCTTCCTCACTCCCTTCGTCTCACCCCCTCTCTTCCTATTTTCAGGTCTCTGCTGAAGATCTTTCTTTTCGACCGCGCCTTTGGTCACCTTCCCCCCCCTACCCCTGGCTTCCCCCCTCCCCCTGGCTCCGCCCCGGGATCCATTACTGTGAAGCTCTGAGACGCTGTCCGGTGTGGAGGCAATATATAAATCCAAGTTGTTGTTGTTTTTGAATTGACTGTGTATTTTGTGGGCGAAAAGCAGCAGCCAATTGCGCACAGCAGCTTTCCACAAATAGCCGTGGATTGAGTGACCACATTATTATTTTTCATAAAAATTTTGAAGGGATTATTACCCCCAGAAAAGCGATCTGCCAATTGACTAACAACCGGGTTCCTACTTAGGTAAATAGAGGCGGGTGAAGTAAGAAAACTTGCCCAACATTTCGCCCTGTCAAGAAATGAACCCAAATCTCTCGCTTGTGCGGTGAGTGCTCTAACCACTGAGCTACAGGACTCCAATCTGGCAACCCAGCAACCTCTCACTAACAGCCAAGCCCATCTCGTTTCACTACAGTGTCTTTCACAACAATTGACGTTCAGCCCCCCAAAAAAGGTCCCAAATCACGGCTATAACAACAAGCTTATTTACATGAGAGTGAGGAAGGGATGGCCTTGTCCAACGTTAACATGGGCTGGGTATGAATGGGACACTCTGCAGGCTCTTCTTTCCAATGATAATTAGTGTGTGTGTTTGCTGTTAAATAGCTTTTTATATAATGTTATACTGAGAAAACAGGCAATGCATCAGCTGGGCTTGTAATAACCACTTAAGCCAACGCAATTAATTTTGTTCAGTCCCCGAGTTCAAAACTGGCCAGAAGACTGACTAAGAATCTTTTTGGCATTAACGAATATGGAAATTTATCCCCACGAGAGTACTTGAATTTACGTTTGAGATAATAAGTAATAAGGAACCTTGTTTTCCCAGATGCAGCTAATCAGAAGTTTTTATATAAAATAAATCTGGTGGATCCACCAATCGACTAACAACTGGGTTCCTACTTACTGCTAGGTAAAGAGGTGTGTGAAGTAAGGAAACGTGCCTAAGGTTTCTCCACATCAGGAATCAAACCTGGGTCCTCATCAGCATCAGCATCCAAGGCTGCACTCTCCACCTCTCAAAGCCAGTCAGGGTTCTGTTCGACCCTGAGCTGTCCTTTCTTCCTCATATCCGCGCCACAACTGGGTTGCCTTTCATCACCTCCGGAATATCGCCAGACTACGGCACTACCTCACCCCTCACGCGGCTGAAACTCTGGTCCACCCCTTTATCACCTCAAGGCTGGACTATGGGAACTCTCTCCTCGCCGGCTTTCCCGGCCCTCCCTCCACACTGCAGGTCATTCAGAACGCTGCAGCTCATGTACTGTCCCGCACAGGCTTTGGGACCACATCACTCCCACCCTCGCCCTCGCTCGCCTCCACTGGCTCCCCATCCTCCAGAGGATCAAATTCAAGATCCTCATCCTCACCTACAAGGCCATTCACGGCCTTGCTCCCTCCTACCTCTCCAACCTACTATCCCCCTACCTACCTGCCCGTACCCTCCGTTCCTCTGGCTCCGGTCTGCTCCACATCCCCCGCCCTAACCGCCCTACCATCGGTGGCCGGGCCTTCAGCCTCTCAGCCCCGAGTCTCTGGAACTCCATCCCCCAGTGGTTTCGCCGCCTCCTCCCTTTCCTCCTTCAAGGCCGGTCTCAAGACCTTTCTCTTTGACCATGCCTTCAGCTCCCCTCTCGACTCTCCACCCCCTCCTCGCTCCTTCCCTTCCCTCCCCTCACCCTGATCATTTTCCCCCTCCTCGGGTCCTGACCCAACTGTACAGCGCCTTGGGACGCCCTCCCAACGTAAAAGGCGCCCTATAAATTAAATCTTGTTGTTGTTGTCCTCTCGCATGTGAGGCGAATGCTCTAGCCAATGTGCTACAGGTCTCCACATTAAAGGTAGTTCATGTTCTCCCGATGTGAAAGGAGCTACAGAAATGCAATTTGTTGTTGTTGTTGTTGTGTTTCCTGGCTTAGATCCTCTGAAGAGATGAGACAAACTTTGCGCTGATGGCTAAAGCGAGTTCCCAGTGCTTGAAGCTTCTGCCGGCAATTGGGATATTTGAGAAGTTCCAGCCTCAACTTTCATGGTTATAAGTCAACCAGAAGGTTCATTGCTGGGCACGATGCCTTATCTCTCTCCTCAATCCCTCCAGGCACTGGCTGAATAAAGGCACAGACGCCATCACAGGCACACAGAGACCATAGACCACACAGTGACATGTACCTGCGTCACACACACACACACACTCATACAAGCACACAAACACGCGTATACAAACACCCGCCCGCAGTTACAATGAAAATGAAACACATTTCTGTGACGGGAGTTTTATGTCTCAAACCCACTGCCTTAAGCAATCACCTCAAACTTTCAGTCAGCCACACCTACATTACCTTATACTTGTTATAATACACTTAATAAAATGGATCTGGGAGCCGGCAGCACTAATCTGCACCGATAAAGTGAAAAGAAAAGCTGCTTTGCCAGATTATCACTTCCAAAGCTTTGACCTTGCTCAGATTGCTCTCAGCAGCGATCACTTTCATCACTTTCATTCATTCAATGGAGATATCAGAGGGGTTCTGGGAGCAACTTTGCAGACCCACCACCCATCCCACCCACCCACACCCCACTGTTATGTAATTTCACACCGAGACAAACATTTTGAAGATTTCCATTACATGTCCGTGCAAAAACCTTGTGGGTTTCTCTTGAAACATTCTGAAAATGTGGGCACCACAAAAGGAATTGTACCAATGTATATTTCTTTCCATACACTCGCAAAAAAAGCACATTGCAGTGTGCAAACTGACTGCCACGTTTTGCTCGCAAAATGCACAGTCAATCCACAGTCAATATATAGCACAGTCAAGTGCTTTGAGACGTCATATATCAAAAGCAAGGACTATTATTATTGTTATCTTTATTAGATTCTGACTGCATGGTGCCAGCCATGAGGCTTTTATCAATCAATTTCAACAACCCTTCTCTCCAAACGTGAAATTCAGCGGCAAGCTAAAATTCCACTGATTTGTATCCTCTTTTCCTCACCCGCCCTCCCCGCAGCCCACCCAGATTTTTTTGAACTGAGGCACACTTTACCAACATGTTTTTAAAAATGTCTACTGGAGAGTCATATGATTAGCGACCAATTCACATCAGGAATCTCTCACACTGCTCGGCAAGTCACCTAATGAATGGCTTCACTTGCTCAGGGAATGGAGATCAACTCGTTATTCACCATAATCGGGCGATCAAACTTTAACTAATTTCAAACAGGTCAGAGCGCTGAAAATGACCACGTAAACTAAGTGCTTCGGTATGTCAATGTTACCAACAATATTCGGATCCAGTGTGGCCTCTAGGAGGGTTGAGATTGAGAGTTGGGGGAGGAGGGGAGAGCAGAGGAGAAGAACAGAAGAACTTGTAACATAGAAGAATTTGAAGCTACTCACTCCATAGTTTTAGAAGCAGCTTGGGTGGAGAGGTACAGAGAAGGCTGAAGTCTTGATGGTTCCTCAATCACAGAGGCAGTGAGGCGCTCTCTCGGCTGCTCATCTCCTCTGCCAGACCGTCTGTCTCCAATCTTCCCAGCGATCGCTCCAGCTTCCCTGTCGTCCCGTTTTAATTTCATCCCTGTGACATGCTGAGGATTAGTAATATTCCGGGGGGGGATGGGGAGGTCACCTTCATTTAGAGCATCAGCTTGGCTCAGTCGAAAAATCTCTCGCCTATAGTATATATATATATATATATTCAATGGCAAGCTGTGTGTGGCAAGCTCTGTGTTGACTCCAGCAGTTACCCCAATGAACGCTCTTGCCAACCTGCGCCTAATACTCTCCAGAATTAGGTGAGCAGGGGGCGTCCCTCCAGGGAGAGAGAGAGAGAGAGAGGGGGGGGAGAGAGCGCGCGCATTCCATTCCAACAGTCTATCTCTGGGATTTCCATGTGTAGATGGGATGCATGGAATTCTCAGCTTGGTTTGGAGACTCTTAAGCAATGGTGATGGGATTCTGCATGTGTCAGACACCCGACCGGGCAAAAATAAAGCTCTAAGTCGTGATCTTTGAACTTCCATCGTCTGGGCTGACACTCCAATATAGCGTTTAAAGCGTCTTCATAGACTGTGAGCGTAAAGTTTCCTGACGTGGGGGCTCAAACCCACAACCTTCTGACTCTAGGCAGAGTGAGCCAGGCTGACTGATTTCCTGGCGACTATTACACAAACAGGTTTTGCTGCGTATAAAATGGAGGCTGTAAAAGCAAAGGCAGGAACGACACAGCAAAACACAACTTGCAAAATTATACCGCGCCTCTCACCCAGGTCAGCAGCCCAGAGCACTCGACAGCAGCAGTATACGATGCTGAGCCAACGGGAGGAAGGTGGGTGGGGGGAGGTAACCATAGGCACAGTCGAAGAGGAAGGAGCGACCTGAAGATGGGGAAGGAGGGGGCAAGGTGATTGAGGCAGAGTTTCGGGGCGTGGTGGCTGAAAGCGCGGATGCTGGAACATAGGGCGCAAGACACAGGCAGGAACATTTAAGGATGATTTTAAGTTTAAATGCGAGCCTTTAAAGAACGGTTGCACAAATCAGCTGACAAGGACGGACCTAGCTCGGAGCTGCTCTTCAGCACGCCCACGTGGTGACCCTGATACTCTCCGGATGCCCCGTGTAAGTCACCGCTCTCTGCCGATGAGGATGACGATCTCGAGCTCCCGCCGAGCCCTCCTTCTCCCTGGATAAAGGGACGCACAACACAATGGGTTTGACATGTCAACCGGCGGGGAATCGGTGAAGCCAACTGAACCTTGGAGCCTACACTGGCACTGACAATCCTCATGTTGTGAGGGGCTTCATGTTATCTGGCGTCTGTCTGATCAGTCGTTACCTTTCCTCGTCCGCTTTGCAAACTGCTCCTGCATTTTGATTTGAATTGTGTGAGATTTCTCAACGGATTTCTTATTTAAGAAATCTGAGAGGGTTGGGGGAGAGGGTGGGGGATGCGATCCACCAATCGACTAACTTCCTAACTTAATAAATAATAACAATCTTTGCATTTGATATTGCGCCTTTTCACGTTGTCTAAACGTCTCAAAGCGCTTCACAGATTAGACTGTAAACTGAATTGACCGTTTGGGCAAAACACGGCAGCCAATTGTGCGCAGCAGGGTCCCACAAACAGTCTTGGATTGAAGTGGCCAATTTTATTATTGATTTTTTTTGAGGGATTATTATGAGTCGTGTGGAATAAGGAAACTTGCCCAAGGTTTCACCCTGCCGGGAATCAAACCCAAGTTTCTTGTTTGCAAGTACTCTAACGACTGAGCTACAGGACTCCAGTAGGAACTTAAGAGTTCCTACTTACTGCTAAGTAAACAGAGGCGTGTGGAGTAAGGAAACTTGTCTAAGTTGCCCGGAAACCCAACCCGGGTACTCTTGCTTGCGAGGTGAATGTTCTAACCACTACACTATGGGACTCTACACATTGCCATTAACGTTGGTTATGAACCGCACGGTGAGAGCTGGTGTTTGCGGGAGACAATTCCTACCTCTCTGCCATCGTCATAGCGACAGGGCTGGAACATACGGGAATCGTCGGAGGGTCGCTTGGCGCTGAGCTGCATCCGTGCCGTGTCCAGCTCCTCGGGAGACTCCAGACTCTCGATCCAATCCACGATGTAGTTCTCCTCGCCGAGGTGAGGCTCAGCATCCCCCTGGCCACGCTGAAGCCGCTCACTGGCGTTTCCCTGGGTCTCTCCGCCTGCCTCGCACTCCTCGTCCACTAGCATCTCCCGCTCATCGGTCCTCACGGGCCAGCCCTCCGTCTCCCACCCTGCGGACCCTCCTCCTGGGTGCAAATGGAATGAACCCAAGTGCATCCTGGGGTCATCCACCAGCTCTTCCTGGGAAAACGACTCATCCCCAAAGTCCTATTGGTAGCAAATACACACTAGGAAGAATAGATACTTAACATGGAGATTTGTTTTACAGATAAGGAACCTGCCGCTGTTTATTATACCTCCTTAACAGTTCCCCTCCAAGACAACTCATTTTCACTAATCATTCCCCATTCCTCACAGGGCTGGAATGTTTATTCAGGGGAACTGAGGTCATGTCAGCATTGGTGATGGGCATTTGATTATCATTATTATCATCAGCTTCACCTTGGGTTTCTTTTACAACCGACTCCACCACTGTCAGGTGCTATATAAATGCAATCGGTTGTTGTTGTGGAGCTTTCCAGTGGCAGATGAAATGAGTTGGAGATAGAGAAGGAAGGAGATGGATTGCTGAGATGGGATCAGGACAACAGGAGAAATTCACTCTCTCTTCAAATGACACCACTGGATCTATAACTTCCACCAGAACAGGCACACAGGGGACCTCGGTTTAACGCCTCAGCTGAAGGACAGCACCTCCGACAACACAGTGCTCCACCATTGGGATATCGGCTTTGCCCGCACGGACAGACTTTCGGCTAGACTTGTACTCAAACCAGCTTACTTTTCAAAGGACGGCAACTCAGTCAATGCAACAACAACAACACAATTACATGTGTACAGCGCCTTTCACATCAGGAGGACGTCCCAAGGCGCTGGACAATTAGTGTTTCGGATCCAAGCTGGGGGTAGGAATCGGGGAGGGTGGAGGGTAGGGGAGAAGGAGGGTGATCGCAGGCACGGTCGAAGAGGAGGGTCTTGAGACTGACCCAGAAGAAGGCAAGGGAGGGATTGAGGCAGAGGGACTGCGGGACAGAGTTCCAGAGGGTGGGGCCAGAATGCCAAAAGGGGACAGGTGAGGCGGGGGACGCGAATTAGGCCGGAGCCCGCTAAGCGGAGAGAGCGGTAGGTTGGTAGGGGGTTAGGAGGTCTCAGAGGTAGGGGAGAGCGAGGCCATGGAGGGCTTTAAAGGTGAGGACCAGGATCTTGAACTGTATCCTCTGTGTGGAGCACTCTGTGCAGCGCTCCTCAAAAGTCCCAATGTGGGGCTTTAAGACTTCAACCTATTGACTCAGAGATGACCATGCTACCAACACAGCCAGGCTGACACCAGTTAACTACAGGATGCCTATCTCTGAACCAAGTTTCATTGATAATGGAAGTACTGTGTACATATTTTCTAAAATAACATAAAATAACATTAACATACACTGGATGAAACAGACATTTTTAGCTTTAACTTGACAACACCAGAGGAGTCTCACCTGAGGAGGTGGAATCGCTGCGAAGAGTGGATTCAATCCTTTCAGGTCATTGTCCGTACCAACTCTGGAGCCTGCAAACCTTGAATCTGTGCTCCCGTCTGCTTCAGACTGAAGAGACAACAAATAAAATTCCCGCAGGAAGTTTTATAAATTTGCGATGCTTTGGTCTGAACTATTACAGTCAAACTCGCGTAAGTATATATTTTGTTTACAATTGAAGGATTGAAAGATTGAATGACCTCCTGTGCTGTAATATTCTATGATTCTAAGTATGATTTTAAGTCTGATCTGTCTAAGTCGTACATCTGCCCAAATCCCGTTCAAGAGTTTATATTCTATGCAAGTTTCACATAACGCATAATTCACATGAAATGGATGATTCCTTGCATTTGATATAGAGCCTTATCATGTCTTCGAGACGTCTCAAAGCACTTCACAGAATCTACTGTAAAATATATTTTATATATTACTGCAAAGTATATGTGATTGTATATTTTGTGGGCGAAACACGACAGCCAATTGCGCACTGCAGTGTCCCACAAACAGTCGTGGATTGAGTGACCAAATAATTTTTTTATGTGAGGTTTACTGTACTGCAAACATTGTAGTATTGGTTCTTAACAAGTGGAGCGAATGGCAGGCTGGTAAAGTCTAGCATAAGGTCTGTCCCCTGGGCTACAAGCACACAGATGTGTAGTGACTGAGAATTTTGCAGGCGAACAGGGAATTTCGTTTGCCCGCAGTGACATCCTAACAACCCATCAACTTTGATGTTTAGGTGGAAAATGGTCTCAGCAGCTAAGACTAGTTGGAATTTCAGGATCCTCAGGATCCTGTTCCTTGACTCATGACCCTCCCCGGCCTAGATGGCACGCGGGCTAATTGTGATGCCCTCGTCTCGCAGCTGAGTTGAGTTTGTGACATTCCTCAGCCAGGTTGGTTAGTTAGCTAGCTAGTTAGTTAGTTAGCTGGTTAGTTGCTTAGTTAGTTCCTTAGTTACTTAATTAGTTAGTTAGTTACTTAGTTAGTTTGTTTGTTTGTTAGCTCAGCTTGGTGCTTACCACCGCTGGTTTGCAGATACCAAGGTGCACCTTGCCAGACGGAGCATCTTTGAGAGCTTGAACAGCGTCCGTCAAAGCAGCGTTCTCTAGGCTACGGTCATTGACAAAGACGAGGCGATCGCCAGGCAGCACCCTGCCATTGCGTTCAGCAACCCCACCAGCCACCAGAGAACGGACAACAATGACAGTACGTGTGGGGTCTAAGGGATCCTGGAGAGGGAGCCAGAGACCACAAGAACTCAGGTTAGACAGAGACCCAGAGCCAAACCCAGACAAAAACACATAACACCTGCACGAAAGCAGCCGCTTAGCAAAACAGCAGCGATTAATTCCACATGCTTTAGCTCCGATCAGTCAACTCTTTAACACATAATCATTACAAACATTTTCCAGAGCGGCTTCTTTGACCTTCTTTTGCCATCTGCTCAACGCCCAACACCTTTGCTTGTGAGAAGGGATGAGCTTGAGGCATGAAAGTCAAACAATAGCAAATTGTCAGGCGTCGATGTCTCACAGTGACAATGCCTTGCAAGTGGGGTTTAGGGAGGTGCAGGGTATCTGTGCGCCCTCTCTTCCCACAGGCAGACAGAGGTCAAACACCAGTTAGTTCATCCGAAGGGTTGTTGGTAGTCGGCCAGAAGACACCTTGGTCTCACCCTTTGGGATCTTTGACGTCGGCCTAAGGACTTGGAGGAACATAGGAACAGGAGGAGGCCATTCAGCCCCTCGAGCCTGTTCCACCATTCTGTAGATCGTTTATGATCTGTACCTCAACTCCAATTACTCGCCCTAGCCTCTTATCTCTTAATACCGTGACCTAACAAACATCTATCCACCTTAGTCTTAAACATTTGAATGGATGCAGCATCCACAGCCTTTTGGTGGAGAGAGAGAGAGAGTTCCAGATTTCCTAATTTCACTCCTAAATGGCCTGGTTCTAATTTTAAGATTAAATGAGGACGGTGGAACCTGAGTTTAACATCTCCTCTGAAAGCCCGGCAGAGGTCACTTATCTCAGCCAAGAGTTAACATGACCAAGTTTGCCATGAATTTAACTGAAAGAAAACAGAAACACCGCCAGCCAACGAGTCTATCAGAGGACGAAGGAGAGAATAAGGTACGTCAAACAGTATGCACGGTGGAGACTTGCGTCTGGCGCTAGACTGGGAGCTCAAACTACAGACATGAGACTTGAACTCACAACTTTCTGCCATAGAGTGCTAGTGACTGAGCCAGGCTGACGCACTGGGCTGCCTAGACACACCCCAAGCCGTACTCGGAATACGTACACGGAGAGAAGCTCGGGACCTCAGTGGTGACCCGACCGCTGTGACCAGCGGCCGTTACCAACACAACTACACAAATAGCCCTTCGGTTTAACACGGCGCCTTTCACATCAGGACATCTCAAGGCCCCTCACAGAATTTACTGCAAAGGGCAACGACTGTGTATTTTTGCAGGTAAAGGCGGCAGCCAATTCGCAGATCGTGAAGTGAACGACCAAACGAGGAAAAAGCGCATCAAGCAGTGAGTTTCGAAGTGCGGGTTCTGCACAAACCGTCTCGCGGCAATTGATAACGAGCTGAATGGAAGCACAGAATTCTTCCACCGACTGACCGACCGGCAGCTGAAAGCAGTCAGTCACAGAGGTCAATGTGCTGAGTTGTGAGGTGTGCTGTAGAGGGAGCTGCAACACAGCTCTGGACGGGACTCTACTCTGCCTGTCTGTGGGTCCATCCGCCCACCCGCCCGCCGGCACGCTGTTCCCTTAACCCTTTGCCCTCACCATCCCCCTGCCAACAGTGGCATTTCGATGAGGAAGATCACCCACTGATTAAAACAACGACGACGAATTATATTTGTGTCGCCCCTTTCACATCGGGAGGACGTCCCAAAGCACTGAACTTTTTATGGACTGGAACTTTTTATACAGAAACGAGCATTCACTGGATAAAGTGTGTTTTTTTCATAGTTTTCATTATGAATAAGGCAGACTCGTTCAATGAAAAATTATAATAATAATCCTTACATTTGATATAGCGCCTTATCACATCTTCCAAAACGTCTCAAAGCTCTTCACAGAATATTTTGTCAAATGAATTGACTACGTGGGCGAAATACGGCAGCCAATTGTGCACAAACAGTCGTGGATTGAGTGACCAAATTATTTTTTAAAATCGAACGCTGTCGACCTTTCTTCTCCCTTCCACCACCTTCCCTCACCAAATAGGGGAGGACAAATTTGCAGGTCTATGAAGAGAGCGCGGGGGGAATTAGATTAATTTGTACAGCTCTTTTCAAAGAGGCAGCAGACACGAATAGCCGAATGGCCTCCTTCTGTGCTGTACAATTCTGTGAATCTATGATCACAGGCAGGAAACTCTTTGAAAAACAATGAAATAAATATCCTTACATTTGATACAGGCCCTCTCACATTGAGAGTATGTCTCAACGTACTGCACTGTAAAGTGTATTTTGGAGGAGAGCGTTTGTGATGTAAAGTGTAGTGACTGTGTATTTTGGAGGAGAGCTTTTGTGATGTAAAGTGTAGTGACTGTGTATTTTGGAGGAGAGCTTTTGTGATGTAAAGTGTAGTGACTGTGTATTTTGGAGGCGAGCCTTTGTGCTGTTAAATATAGTGACTGTGTATTTTGGAGGCGATCTTTTGTGCTGTAAAGTGTATTGTGTGTATTCTGGGAGAGCTTTCGTGGAAACCTCAAAGCTCTGAAAGCAGCCTCTCGCTGGCACAACAGTACGGCTTGGGGCAGCTTTCCCACTCATTTCCCACTTCTTCCCTGGATTGTGGGATATAAAAATTCCGCTCAATGATTCCAGGCACCAACCTTGGTGCTCGATGGGGTTTCTGATCACAGTTGCTGAGCACCAGAGGCTCTGTGAGGAATGCTGAACGGAATTTCTACGGCTCAGGAGCCCGTTGCAGAAAGAAACTGGGTTAAATTAAAATGAATCCAAGCAGTTCAAAGGTCTTTTAATAACAATAATAATCCTTGCATTTAATATAGTGCCTTATTACGTCAATGAGAGGTCTCAAAGCGCTTCACAGAATATACTGTAAAGTGGTGTGACTGTGTATTTTGCGAGCAAAACGCAGCAGTCAATTGCACACAGCAGTGTCCTACAAACAGTCGTGGATTGAGTAACCACATTTCTTTGTGGGCTTTTTTTAGGGATCATTACCCCTGGAAACCAATCCACCAAGCTATTAATAACCAGGTACCTACCTACTGCTTGGTAAACAGAGATGTGTGGAATAAGGAAACATGCCCATGACTTTGCCCCACTCAGGAATCAAAACCGGATCCTCTCGCTAGTGAGGCGGGTGCTCTAACCACTGAGCTACAAGCTTCTACATCCTGGAGTCCTGGAGCATAGCACTTTATAAAGCGGAGCATTTTTAGCAGAACAATCTGGCTGTATAACACCTGGGGAGGGTGAAGAGATATAGGAGGCCATTCACCACAGCATACAGTATCATAAAATGTGTTGTACACAAATTACTAGACAGGATCGCACACATCTGTCTTAACAACAAAACTGTTGCCTAACCAATGATTGGAGTTCCAAGAGTTATTACAAGCAGCTAAATTTACAATTTAAGATTTTTTTCGGGGAGCCGGGTGTCTGACACATGCAGAAACCCATCACCGTGCCTAAGAGTATCCAAACCAAACTGAGAATCCCCTGCATCCCGGCTACACATGGAAATCCCCAGAGATAGATTGTTGGCTTGGAATGCGTACTCTCTCCTGCTTATCTACTTTGGAAAGTACAATTTAATAATAATCCTTGCATTTGATATAGCGCCTTATCACGTCTTCGAGACGTCTCAAAGCGCTTCACTGATTATACGGTCAAGTAAATTGACTGTGTATTTTGTGGACAAAACATGGCAACCAATTGCACACAGCAGCGTCCCACAAACAGTAGTGAATTGAGTGACCAATTTATTATTTTATTTAAATTTATTTTTTGAAGCGATTATTATACCCGGAAAAGTAATCCACCAATTGACTAACAGCCAGGTTCCTACTTACTGCTAGGTAAACAGAGGCGTGTGGAGTAAGGAAATTGCCCAAAGTTTCACCCTGCAGGGAAATGGACCCAGGTCTCTCGCTTACGAGGAGAGAGCTCTAACCACTGAGCTACAGACCTCTACTCTCTCCCTGAATGGAGTGCTCTCTCTCTCGGGAGGGAAGCATCCTGCTTACCGAATAACGGAAAGTACTATTTAAGATAGTTAGTAAGTGAGCGAATGGGGAGGATAAGAGAAATTGTTTGATGCTCAGAGTGGTTAGGATATGGAATACCATACCATGAAATGGTGGTTGAGGGTAAACCCATGTTGACCTTCAAGAGGGAACTAGACAGATACCAAAAAGAGTCAGCTACAAGGGTGTGAGGAAAGGGCAGAGAAACTTGATTGAAACAATTGCTCTTGAGAGAGCGGCACAGACATGATGGGCCGAATGGCTATCGTACATTTCTCAGTATGCAAAAAGTAAATTAACTTTCTCGCTTGAAAAAAAACACACCAAGGCGAGGAGGGGGCGTGTGTAAAAAAAGAAAAAGTTTTGCACAAAATGATATTTTAATGAGGTTGGCTGATATTCTTTTTTTCTATAAAAAAAGTACCGTTTCTGGTAAGGTGATACTCAACATGCTAACACACAGCTGGAAATAGTGTGCAGCTGGCCTCAATCACACTCCCCAGGCCCGGTGGGGGGTTCGTGGGGGGGCGGCGGGGGGTGGGGAGAGGGGTGCTGTAGCTCAAAGCAGGTCCAATCTCTATTGAGAGCAAAAAAAAATCCGCGCTCTCTCCTCCTCACTCTGGTTCTCTCTCTCTCTCTCTCTCTCTTTCTCCCCCGCCTCACTCTTGCTCACTCTCTCTCCCTCTGCCTCCCTCTCGTTCTCTCTCAATGACGTGTTAAGGCGCTATATCAAATGCAAGGATTATTATTATCATCCGGGTTTGATGGCAAGTTTGGGATCAGTCTTTTAGCTGGGTTAGTCATTAAAATGGTAATGATACTGTTATGGATAGATCTTCCTGTTACATTCCCTCTTTCCTCCTCCCCACCCCAGAGTTGGTTATGGATCGTGGGGCTAAAAGCAAAGTTATTTCATTGTAAGACAATATCAGCAGCACACAAAGTTGTTTTGTGTTCCTTGGTAACAGACACTAAAGTAACCTTGTGGCTGGCTCCAGCTATCGTCCTATCATCACAATTACTCATTCCGGTTATTAACTGCAATCATTTTGGCCAAAGTCCGGTTTTCGGGACAAAGCGTCGTTCTACCTCTTTTGGCGGTTATCTCTACTCAAGCCATGAGGTTAGGTATTTTTATTATCATTAACATTCATAATATTTATTATTATTATTGTCATTGACAATATAAATTAATAACAACAAGAAGAATATATTTTAAGATATTGAGATCAGATTGCAGTGAGTGCCAACAAAATGTGTAGAAAGGTTGAAATCATTCCAGGTCGTTTCCAAATAAAGCTTTAAAACCCACATTCACCCCCACCTCTTATTCACCGAAAAGAAAAACAATTTTCAGATCAAAATTTACTGTTTCAATTTGTGGCAAAAAAAATCCTCTCCCTCAGCCACATCTGTTCAAAGAACCTTGTTGTTATATGTAAAATACCATTAAAATAGGACTTAAAAAGGATGGTGTATCGAGTAACCAGCCGTTTACCAAAGTAACAGAAGCAGCAGCGACTGGGGTGGACTTGACTCTGCGGTTTGACTGTGTGCTCAGTACCTATGTAATACGGTAAGACCTTTTATCTCTTCATGGAAGTAGGGCAGTTGGGTTTTATTGCACAGCTAAAGCCCTGTAACTCTAGTGAAGCTCACATGTGTTCCACATTAAAGAAAGAGCAGCCCAGTCATTCCGATGGAACCCCACCCCGGCTCTCACAAGCACACTTCCCCAGAGAGAGGGGGCCCCATCACTCCACACAGGGCCACCTATACCTGGGGGAGGGGGGTGGGGGGTTGCCTGCAGAATGGGCTTCATTGAGACATCCAATTCTGCATTGTTTGAGAACGTAAAACTTCCCCCAAAACATTTCTTCACCGTGCTGCTCTCACCTCATCTGGCCCACATCCAAGAACAGTCAACATTCCTGATTATTCATGTGCTCCCAAGAGAAGAGGCTCATATCATCACATACCCTCGGGGGGAAACGGAGGGGGGGGGGCGGGGTGTGGGGAGGAATGGGGAGAGGGATGTAAAACACAAGAAGAACACTGAACGCAAGAGATGCTTGCACTATTAAATCAGAACATTAATCCAAATCTATTGGTTGCAGAGGTTTGGCCTATTCAACGATACACTTCAATCACGAGATATCAAAGATGTGATAAGGCGCAAGGATTATTATTATTTGACCTTGTATTTTGTAGGTAAATGCAGCAGCCGATTTATGCACAGCCAAGCAGCCACAACGACCAAGTTTACCTGTAGGGATTGTTGGCCAGGGCATTCTGAGAAACTGCTTTCTGTTTGCGAACAATGCCCTGGGATCATTAACGCCCGTCCACCTGAACAGGCAGACAGTTTAACATCTCAACTGAAAGAAGGCATCCCTTTCCTGAACTGCACCGGAGTGTCAGCCTAGACTGTGTGAGCTTAAAGTACCGACATGGAGCTCAAACCCACAGCCTTCTGACTCGGGGGTGAGAGCGCTACATGATTGAGCACACCATTAACCGCAATCACCACCACCACGCTCACCGTCCATGTTCTCAGCAAGCAGCAGACATGGAGGCAGGAGGCCAGTGGAGATGTGCTGTGTGAGGTGTATGCTCCGGGCAATTTGTTTGGTGCCACTGCTCCCATTCGGCCATCAAATTAGCCAGATTAAAAGCTCCATCACCCGGTGGCAAGAGTTGAGGAACCGTACTGGCTCTACTTCATGAAGGGATCAGATGTTATTCTTAAATTGCAAGTGGGATGGGGGGATCAGCAGTGTACGTGCATGGAGGAGGGAAGGGGGGGAGCGGAAGCAAAGTTGGCCTAGTTTATAACAAAACAGTTTAATACATGATACTGTGGATTTATGCAGAATTCAGCTGCTTGAAATCTATCGCGATCATTGTAAGCTTCAGAGAAAACTGATACCCTTTAACCCTAATCAGTCTTACATTTTGTGCAAGTCTTGCCTTAGTCTGAGATTTCTGTTCAAAATAAATTAATACGGTACGGCAGAGTTTAACAGCCACCAGCCCCCACCACCCCCAAACCCACCAAAAAAGTGTCCCCATCACAGCCCAATTATGTCTTTCCCCTTTATTCTATTAAACTCTTCCGTATAAACTTATTTTGAAAAGAAATCGTAGACAAAGGCAAGACTGGTATCAAAAGGCGTCAAGTAAAACTGATTAGGGTCAAAGGATATCAGTTTCCTCTTAAGATTACAATGATTGTGATAGATTTCAAGCCTTCTCTCCACCAATGTGGTTAAACGTGGCACTGTAGGTGGTGCCACTGTGCAGTGACATGTCACCCTGGCTGATGGGTGGGGTTGGGGGGAGAGTATTTATTTCTCCGTTACAAGAGGATGGGTTCCAGTCTTGCTTTGGGACTTGAGTTTACTGTCTAATTTGGCCGATTCGCAGAGCATCGCTGAGACTTGGACATCCAAACTGTGCGAGCCAAGGTTCCCTCGAGGGGAGGCACAGCCTTTGTGTTGGTAATCTGCCCATTGTTTTCAGTTATTTTATTAAATAGGATAATTACAGCCCTTGAGCAAGCTAGCCCATGTGAATAATAATAACCCTCGCATTTGATATAGCGCCTAAACGTATTCTTGTTGTTATTATCACGTCGTCGAGACATCTCAAAGCGTTTCACAAGAAATACTGTTTAGTGACTGCGTGTTTTGCAGGTGAAACGCGGCAGCCAAATGCGCACAGCAGTGAACGGCGCTCTATGTAGATATGTGCAAATTGTTGTAAGTTAACAAGGCTAATGTACTAAAGGTTTACCTCTGATTGTTCTGTTTATTTACAGCACTTAATATTTCTACAGCTCCTACAGTGGAAGATTGCTCCCCTCCCCACCCACACTCCCCAACCCTCATTATATGGGATCCATAAAATTCCAACCCATGTCGTCAGAGTGAAGTGTAATAGTGGGTTTGGCTGTGACCTTGCTTGCCGGCCTGTATTATTATTCTGTACTGTAAGGTCATTCTCAGTGGTGAGACAACCAAATCTGGGACGACCAGTCACAAGAGGCTGGTCTGAAAGCTAAGCTGAGTCTCTGTAGGTGATGAGCTCATACGTGCGAACATCTGGCAATTATTTAGACTCTCTCAGACCACACAGGTGGTATTAAAGGCTGTGTATGGACAGTGAGAAAGGACAAGGGGGCAGTGTGTCCTACACATGCCTTCAGGCCACAAGCTGGTGAGATATTTCACACCAATCAGAAAGAAATCTCAGAGACTTTCTCTGCAGCTGAGTGAAATGTTTAGGAATAAGCTGAGACCTCGCCCGCAAAACAGTGTCTGTGTGCAACACAAAGCAACGCCAGTGCTGGTAACGTGCGTTTAACCATCTTCTCCTGGTCCCTCGTTTTCCAGATAATCCTGAAATGTCCCCCAGCTCTTCCTCACTTGTGGATAAGGACTTTTGATAATTCAAGGTAATTCTGTTGCTAGTCTGTAAGTTTCAGTCACAATTGTAGTGCTCAGAGCAAACCATGTGTCACACGTACCTGATAGTCCAGGATACTGAACCCTAAACCTTGCGAACCTTTTTCCATCTCCATCACTTTCACGTCAGAGGACCATAAAGCCAATTCCCCATCCTCTTCTGAGTCTGACTCTACCTGCGGGTGGCGGGGAAGGTGGTGGTGGGGTGTGGGGGGGCGGAGAGGAGGAAAAGGGAAGACATATAAAATGGACTTAAATGTAAATCAAGTGATGTTTAGTCTAATTTACAGTTAAACAGTTCTTTTGCACTCAGCCTAGTGCTGAGAGTCAGAGGTCAGTAAAGAGGCAAAGTTTAATCAAAGGGCAATATAGCTTCTAACTGAAGGGATCACAGAGCAATGTAGCTGCCTTCTGGGTCTGGGTTGGGAAGTATAAGGCTTGGGCAGGGCAAAGTGACCTGATGATGATCAGGAGGTAAAGGTTAAGGGTGAAGAGGGAGGGAAACTGCATGAGTGAGTGAGCGAGCGAGCAAGTGGGTGAGCGGGTGAGCGAGTGAACATTCTAGTTCGGCGGGCGTTGCTTTACTGGAGCCCTGGCAGGAGATCTGGGGTTTACCAGGCTCGTGCAGTTTTTACTGCTCCAAGGAGATGGCGGTCTGACCACTGGATCACTGCTCTCTGTGTCCTGAGAAGAGAGGAGAAAAGTTGTTGTAGTGAAAGCAGCGAGGTGGAAGGAGCGTGCCATCTCAAGAGCCGCTTCTCCACTCGTCCATGCCAGTGTTTATGCTCCACATGAGCCTCATCATGCCTTTCCTTAACTGAGCCTTCAAGCATAACCTTCTATTCCTTTCTCCCTCATGTACCTATCCAGCTTTCCCTTAAATATATCTATGCTATTTGCCTCAACAACTCCTTATGGCAGCATTGTTCCACCTTCCTGCTGCTCTCCGTGTGAAGAAATTTCTTCTAACTTCCCTATTTGATCTATTTGTGACTATTTCATATTGATGGCCCCTGGTTTTGGTCTCCCCCACAATTGGACCACTTCCCCATGGCTACCTTATCACATCACTTCAGCTCACTGTGAGGAGGGAGGCTCAGTGATCAGCTATGTGGGCACCTGCAGTACATAACTTCTCCCTTTCCTGTCTCACTCTCGTGCCATCCCATTCTCCCACTACATCCCAAGAGTGGTTCAGAGATGAAGTACACACACATACACACACACAAACCCTTCCACATTGCCAAACCTTCCCTGTGTCTACAGATTCATAAAAATGAGTTCAGCGTCCCTGTCCTATGTCTGTGAAACACTCTCGTAAATGTTGTAACAATTCATCGTTGTGAAGTGAAGAGTAATTTCACAGCGTTTCCTCTCCATATCACAACAACAACTTGCATTTACATAGCGCCCTTCATGCGAGGTAACATCCCGACAGGACTTGACAGTCTGACCCCGAGCCAGGGGGGAGAGAGACGAGGGAGGTGACCGTAAGCACGATCAAAAAGGAAAGCGGGATTTGATGGTGGGGAGGGAGGGAGGGAGGGGGAGAGGCAGAGGGATTGACGGAGAGAGTTCCAGAGTTTCAGGGCGTGGTGGAATGGCCTCCTTCTGTGCCGTAACATTCTATGAATCTATGAATCTATGAATAGGAGGCCGGAGCCTGCTGAGCGGAGGTAGCGGGTGGTGGAGGGGGGAAGTAAGCAGGTTGGCGAGGTAGGGAGGTCCAGGGGCATGAAGGGATTTGAAAACGAGTGAGAGGATCGCGCAGTACCTCGGGAGCTGCTCTCTGTGTGACATAGGGCTCGTCCACAGGCATCTCGGTCCCCTCCAGCAGCCGGCGACAGCAGGCCAGGGTGAGAGGAGAAGGAGCCTCGGTCAGAACGGATACCGCCTCACGCCGAGATTTTCCACGCAGCTCTCTTCCGTTCACCTGGAACACAATTGTCAAGAGTTCACTGGGCAATATCCAACACTGGAGTATGGGTCTCACTGGTTAAACTTCAGCAGTTACTCCCCCACCCTCCAAACACACACCACAACAAGGGAAGGGGGAGAGTGCATTGTCTGAGATGCCTTCAGGTGAGACGTTAAACCCAGGTCCCTTCTGTGCCCATTCAGGTGGGCATTGAAAACCCCACATCTCTATTTGAAAAGGGAAGGGAGTTGCTGTCTCCTGGTGTTCCGGCCAAACAATCCTCAGGAATTGAAAACACCATTAAGCTTCTGGGTGCAATTGGTTGCCATGTTTCACCCACAAATTACACAGTCATTCCACTTTACACTTATCAACGACGTGATAAGTTGCTATAACAAATGCAAGGATTATTATTATTATGCCAGTAACAAAAGACAATGAAACAGTGGAACCAGATCTATCAGCTGGTGAGAAAACAGCGCAGGAGACACAAACACACACACGTAGGACTGTCGGCTACCTCACCCCCCCGTTGTCAGTCCCTGATCTTAGCTGATCAACAATTCCATCTGTAGGCAGAGAGCAGCGAGACGAGAAAGTTGTGGGTTCAAACCCCCACATCTGGATTTGGAACTCATGTAGCCCTCAGCTGACAAAAGTAAATTGTCTCTGCAACTGAAGTATTAATTCTTGTTGAAGTGCAGAGAGGACGCTTTGAATCCTAAATGAGCAGAAAAAACAGAACCGAATAGATTTTACCTCCAGAATTTCATCCTCTGGCTCCAGGTATCCAACTCTTCCCATTGGGCCATCAGGAGCAACTGATGATATGTAATGATGTCCATCAAAAGAGTCTATCTCTACTCCCAGTCGCAGGGTGTGAGCAGGCATTAGCTGGAGTGAAGCAAGAGGCGACAGTTATAGCTCAGCCGCCGAATGTGCTCTGAGACACTACACCAGTCACTCCGTTATTTAAGAAGGGAGGGAGGCAGAAACCAAGCATCCACAGACCTGTCAGCTTGACATCAGTTGTAGGGAAGTTACTGATAATCTATCATCAGGGTCAGAGGGACTGAGCACTTGGACATGTATGACCTGATCAAAGGGAGTCAGCGTGGATTTGTGAAGGGTAGGTCATGTCTGACAAATCTTGTTGGGAATATTTTTGAGGAGGTCATTAGCATAGTGGATAAGAGAGTGTCTATGGATGTCGTCTACATGGATTTTTCAGAAGGCATTTGATAAGGGTCCGCAAAAGAGATTTTGTTCACAAAGAAAATCAGGCCCCACTCCGTGGCCAAGCTCCCTGTGTCATTACCTTAGAGTATTTCTGCAACTCTGAGATGTCAGATACCTCGGGGTCCAGATTAAACACCTAGTTCGAATAAGGGAGAACATAACATTATTATCACTAAATTTAATGGTGTCACACACAATGTGTTACACTAATGTCACTGAATTGTATTCACACAGTACAATCAGTCCAACGTAGAATGGAGGCCGTCTCTTAGGTAAGACTATGCCTATTCAGGTGGATGTTTAACAACAACAAGTTGCATTTATATAGCGCCCCTCACACAGGGCAGCATCTAGAGCGCTTGATATCTCATCGTACTATTCGAGGGAGTTGCTCTCTCCCAGTGTCCTGCCCATCAGGCCCCAAGATAAAATTGGTCATTCACTCCATGGCTGTTTGTAGGATATTGTTGTGCGCAAATTGACTGCCTTGTTCGCCTACAAAACCCACAGTCACTACTTCACAGCAAAATCCTATGAAGTGTTTTCATGTGCACCTGAACAGACACAATATCAGTTTAATGTCTCATCCAAACGACAACATCTTCAATGATGCAGTGTTCCCCCCAACACTACACTAGAGCGTCAGGTATGTCAGCTCGAAGTCCTGGGGGGCTTGAACCCTTCTGACTCAGAGGCGAGAGTGCTACTGACTGAGCCAGGTTGAAGTTGGGAAGCAAAAGGGGTAGGGGTGAGGTTAATGTAGGCACTCTTGAACGAGTAGTTTTTTTTAAAAGAAAGCATTTGAGAGGAGAGAGGGAGGGGGAGCGAGGCGGAGTGATTTACCGAGAGAGTTCCATTGAGCAAGGCTATGGTGACAGAAAGTTTGTTCCCAATGAGAGGGAGAGGAACAACAACAAAAACAACAATAACAAAATTCCATTTCTATACGTGCAGGAAGTGTGAGTTTGCAGAGCTGGGGAGTGGGTTGAGGGAAGTCGGGAGGAGGTAGAGACACGGAAAACCACGTAGTGCTTTTTCACTTTGAAGAGCTGCAAAAAACTATCCAGTACAAAGTAAGCGTTAATTAAGTTGTTATGATACTCTTGGGAGGGCTCAACATGTCCTGATGTTGTAAAATAATATTCAATGGGAGTAAAAGGCTGGTTTTCTTGGTATAGATTTCCTTCTCAGTATTTATTGCATTAGCATTACCAAGAAGAAACACACACAGCTTTTTTCAAAAAAAATCTAGACTCCTTTCCCCCAATCCACATGTGGTTAACTTTGACAGCTATTTATTGTTAATAATTAGCTTTCACAAGAATGATCAAAGGTGAAAAGCTTCCATTTAGCTTTCGTCTCTCATCCAGTGCCAGAGCTCCGAAGATTGGTCAGAATAACATGGTAATTGGGACTTGCGCTCCTAATGGGAGCCTCTATAGAGAGCAATGTGACTTTAATGATGTGTCTAAATTGTTCCTTTCATTGGATCCGCTTTAAATTCCTCTTTGTAATTCAATCAGATGAGCGCTTCTGCCGGGATGAGGAAGAGGACTGTTTGACTTCAGACAATAATACCAATTTTTACACTTGATACCTGGCCTCATCACGTCAACGAGACGTCTCAAAGTGCTTCGCAGGAGTTACTGTGAAGTGTGGTGACTGTTTTTTTGTAGGCCAACACAGCCAGCCAATCTGCATGCAGTAATGTCCCATATTCATGAAGTGAATGACTAATTGTTTTAATTAGGGACTGTTTGCCAGAAGGCATTCCCTTCTCTTTTCAAATAGTATCATTTAACATCCACCTGAACAGATGGATGGGACCTCAACAGCAACAACTTGCATTTATATAGCCCTCCTCACGCAGGTCCCAGATGGCACATATGCTAATGCAACACACCCCAGCACTGTATTAGAGTTTCATCTTAGACTATATGATTCCAGGTCCCAACATGGAACTTGAACCCACAACTTTCTGACTCAGAGACAAGAGTGCTACCACTGAGCCATATGAAGCACCTCCAAAAATGAAGCGTTCCCCCAGCACTGTATTAGGGCACCAGCCTAGACTGTGAGTTCAAAGTCCCGACGTGGGGCTGAACCCACAGCCTTGTAACTGAGAACAAGAGTGCTACCAAGTGATCCAGACTGACACGCTAGCACGGGTTAGATATCAATTCAAATCTCCCTTCCTAATCGCTTCATTACTGGATCAATAAAGAATCACTTCCATCATTATAAACCTGGAATTAGGAAACCCAACACCCGATAAACACAGGAGCCCTTGATACAAATTCTTGAAATAACAGGCTGTTGTGTTGCTCTGATGAAGCAAACTCAATTTTTCTTTTCTTTTTGCGACTGTTTTTTTTCAGCTTAAAACATAATTCAAAATCAAGGTTCATAAACCGTCCTCACTGTAAAGTATTATTTTTTATTCCTCTTTAGAATCAATTCCTGCCAATCAGTGTGAGGCTACTGACTTCATAAAAGTAATAATGATAACCCTTGCATTTGATATAGCGCCTTATCATGTCGCTAAGAAATCTTTTGCCCCAAAAATACAGTCAATTCACTTTACAGTATATTCTGTGAAGCGCTTTGAGACATCTTGAAGACATAAGGCGCTATATCAAATGCAAGGATTATTATTATTATTATATCAAAGCGCTTTGCAGGATTTTACTGTGAAATGGTGCAACTGATTGTGTGGTCTATGGGTGAATCATACCATCACTTCATAGTCTTGGCCCAGCAAATTCTCCCATTTGATCTTCAATTCTTCATTTGCTGAATCGTGTTCGTATCCTAGAGGCAAAGTATTACCAAATTAGTTTATCATTAAAGGCACAAGAAAAAAAAGCAGCAAAATACATCTACGGTGAGCTGAACCCATCACAGGAGGGTTTGGCAATGGGGAAGGGTGTGTGTATGCTTCATTTCTGAATCACTCTTGGGATGTAGTGGGAGAATGGGATGGCACAAGAGTGGGATGGGAAAGGAAGAAGTTATGCTCTGCAGGTGCCCACATAGCTACTTTCAGCACTGCATTGATCGGAGTATCAAGCCTACGACACGTGAGGTATTAAAGAAGTGAAACACTGATAATAAACGGGCAGGATGATGGGAATGAATGCGGATTACCAATGTTAGTTGATCTCACCTGATTGATTCGCTAAAACCAATGGGAAACTGTAGGGATGAGCTTTGGAACCATGCTGCCCATAATACTGTATTTAGAAGCAATCATGGCAAGTGAACTGGAAGCAGTCAGACTACGTTTGCTGCCAGTAATACCCAGGAAAGCAAGAAGCTCTGAGAAGACTTATAAAATTCAAAGGCTTGGCAATGGGGTAGATTAATGGCAGATGGTATTTAAATTTGAAATATGCAGAGTAATCCACAACAGCGCTAAAAATGACAGGTATGATTACATACTGATGGGCGTAGCATTAAATAAAGAGCAACCAAGAAAAAAAGATACGGCAAAATATTTGGCTGAATGCTAAACCCACACTGTGTAACATTGGTTACCAGAAGATTACATCGATTCATCCAACAAATGCAAGTTCTAGGAAGGGATTCAGGTAATGCATAAAGCACTATCCAGTGTTGGCAAGCCACTTCACATAAGAGTCCTGTAGTGTATTGGTTAGAGCACTCGCCTCGCAAGCAAGAGGACCCATGTTTGGTTCCTGTACGGGGCAAAACTTTAGGCAAGTTTCCTTACTCCACATGCCTCCGTTTGTTAATCGATTGGAGGATTGCTTTCTGGGGGGTAATAATCCCTTCAATCCATGACTGTTTATGGGACACTGCCTTGCACAATTGGCTGCTGCGTTTCACTCACAAAATATACAGTCAATTCCCTTTCTGCGAAGTGCTTTTAGACATCTGAAAGACGTGATAAGGTGCCATATCAAACGCAAGATTAATATTATTAATAGTGATATCTCAGAGTTTGTAACAGGAAGAGTGACGGACATAAGCAGGGAAGGGAGGTAGGTGACTCAAGCACAGTTCAAGAGGTAGGGCTATAGCCGACTTTTAAAGGGAGAGGGAATGAGACTGAGAGGTTGAGGCACAGTAGCTGAAGGCTCGTTCACACAGAGACCAATTTCTGTCATCCTGTTGATGATCAAAGGACAAAGCGATCGGAAAACATTCACAAGGGCAACGACAAGAAGAGTGCTTTGTGATCTACATCAACTCAGCAGTGGAGAGAGGCCAATGGAGCCAAATCGTCTAAAAGGGCTATTGTCTAAAAACTGAGCAGAATTCATTCTCAACAACAACTTTTATTTACACAGCGCCCTTCACATAGAGTGTTATTTCGAAGTTCATTATATACAGGGAAGGGAGGTAACTGTAGGCACAGTTCAGTAGGATTTTAGGCGGCTTTTGAAAAAAAGAGGAGACAAGACAGGTTGAGCCGCAGTGGCTGAAGGCTTGGCCACCGATGATAGGGTCCCCAGGGAGTGAGGTGGGGCTGGGGGGAGTAGAGAGCAAGGAACGCATAGCACCCTTCCCTCGGAGCTTCCCATATAAAGAATCCATCTCAACTCTTTTTAAGCGGTGAGGAAAACTGGTTTCCGAACTAAGAGTGAAGCTGAACATTCTCCAAAACATTCTGCACGATGCTTCATTTGAAGGCAATCGCCTTCAGGGTAAAACCAGGGGGAATGAAGAGCGAGGCTTGTTGAGGCAAGCTGAATGTCCTTTTCTCAATCACGTTAGTTCCCCTTAACTGCCCATGATTCCGGCAAGAAGGGCTGAAACAGTGTCCGTGGCTTGAATCCGAAAGGAGCTTGCTTTTGGCTTAAACTGGTCGTCTCAGTACGTTCCCCTTTTCATTCCCCTTATTACAGCGAATTACACACAAACCTTGAGCTGTTTGCTGTTTGCCAACTGCAGCTATCCTGGCATATTAAAAGCTTACAAGTTGGTAAAAGTGGCGACTCTTTCAAGAACAAATTAGACAGCTCTCTGAGATGCAGTCCGGCATGGAGGGCGCTATATAAATCCAAGTTGTTGTTGTTGTTGTAGATAGATTTCTGTTAGGAAATAATATCTTGGGATAATTTGGGTCCTGACGTGTGCAAGCGACTGCCAGGATGGTGGAAGGTGAACTAGATGGCCATTGATCTTCTTTCGCCAGCAAATTCTTATATTTTTATGGTAAAGCAGAAACACATTCCTGTTGAAAAACTCACGTGTCGGTGTTAACTGGCACTCCAGTACAGAGCAACACAAACTCAGGGTCAAACAGGAAATTATAAATATTGGGGAGTAACCGGTTAATAAATACATACCTGAGCTAAAAGGCAGCAATTGCAAGTTACCTGTCAGTTAGAAATACATCAAGTAATTCTCCCGCACCAGGCTCCATGAGATCATCATCCCTCCCCCCATCCTTGCTTATGGCCTCTCTATCCCTCTGTGGCCTCCCACAACACTACCGCTCTTCCCACTTCCCTACACTCAGCTAAAACCAGCCTGCTTCATGTCCCCTACCTGGCCTAGAAAGTAGCACTCTTGTCTGAGTGAGAAGGTGCAAGTTCCATCTCGGAACTCTGATTTCACCCACACAGTCAATTCGCTTTAGTGTATATTCTGTGAAGCGCTTTGGGACATCTCGAAGATGTGATAAGGCGCTGTATCAAATGCAAGGATTATTATTAATTGTGCTCCAGAGACGCCTTCCATAAACAGGAGTCTATTCTGCCTGTTTCTCTAGTCTGAGCCAATTTGCACGTTGCACTCTCACCCTCCAGTTCCTCCAGTGATTCAACTGTTATTCAGCCCCAGTAAGAACCTGCTTTGTCCCCTCGCTTCAGCCAGCCTTCAAAGAGGTCAGGATCACATCCTCGCTTAATCATTTCTTCAATGGAAAAAACAGTTCAGTCTCTGATTCTCTCCCTTAAGAAGCGGGGAGCCCCTTTTAAGTGCGGGAAACATGCGTATTATTTTTCTCTGAACTCTCTCCAAGGTAACAATGCCCTTTATTTGAAGGGCAAGGGTTGTCCAATGGCACACATAATATTCTAAACATGACCTTAACATTGAAACGCACGGGGTTAAAACAACCTGCTGTGACTTGTGATCAAACGCCTTTGATGCCTTGTATATACGGCTCCGTGCGAGACAGGACTGCCTGCAGCATTGGAGACTTGCCTGAGGTATACTTCACGTGTGTTTATTCCCCTCCCCTTCTCCCCCTCCCACACACACCCTCCGCCTGTTAAAAACTAAACACAGTCACATGAGCGATCAATTATTTTTAAACAAAACACGGGCTCTTTGAAAGTTCTTGAGCCCTCCGTTGGACCATTGGGTAGACAGTCATAAAAGGATCTAACAACAATTTGCATTGATGCAGCAACCTTCATACAGCTCAGCGTCTCAGAGCGCAACACAGTGGGTTTGGATGAGCAAGGGAAAGGGGGAGGTGACAAAGAGGCGATCGAATAGGTCTTTTTTTTGGTATAAAATGTGGTGCGAGCAATACTTTTCATGCTTGTCAAAGCAGCCTGTTGCTGTGTCGGGGTCGGTAGACTAGGCTGCTCTGCAAAGGTGAAATCAAATGGGCAGAATAGCCTTCTTCACTCAAACTCAAACTCAAAAAAGGCACATTTTTTTTCCTGGAAACTCAAAAAAAAACTAAGGTTCGCCAAACTACCGTAAAAGATGTATTTAAGATTTTAAATAATTTCATTACTAAATGGCTGAAGCAGATGTTAACGTGCTTCTTTCTTATTCAATGTTGGAATCAAGTCAGGACTTATTTCTGATTCCAGACACTTGGCTTTAGTTCGATTGCTGGTATCAAGCCAAAAGGCTCTTCGTCAGACTTTCAAAGCAAAGTATGGTTTCTTTTGGGTTTATATATACTGTGTATGTGTATATATATTTATTTATTTATAAAATTCTTAATCATAAATGTCAAGCAGATATTACGACAAGTCAGTGTTGGGTTTTCTGGGTAATTATGAAGTTAGTTTGTTGGGAACCAGTGGAAAACAGTGATCCCGAGGTTAAATGTTGCTCAAACTATTCTTACGTTTTTTTAAACTTGTAAGTTTGTTAAACTTTTCCTTTTGCAGGCCTGCCATGAGGCCTCTTTTCATTTCACAAGCTTCCTTCTTGAGCTTAGAGACCCACACCACAGTGTGATAAAGAGGCTTGTCTATAGAATCCAGGTGTGGTTTGTCTTTGAAGCCGACTGTTCTAGAATTGACTTTCAACAACAACAATTTGGATTGATGCAGCTTCACACAGGGCAGCGTCCCGGAGCGCTGCACAGTGGTGGGGTTGGATGCTGAGCAAGAGAGAAAGGGGAGAGGAAGGTAACAAAGGAATGGTCGAGGAAGTCGATCACTTTTTCGGTGTAAAATGCAATTCTTATGTTCTTATGTTCTAAGGCGGCACCATAAATGCACAAGTCCCAGGTTACTAATTGCCATCTCCACTTGAAAAGTACAACAACAACAAAATCACATTTGTAAAGCGCCTTTCACGCCGGGAGGATGTCCCACAGTGCCTAGCGAACACAGTCTGTTCACGTGTCTGCTGAGTTCCCAGCTATGTGCACGATAGGTCTTTAATATGGATAAAAGGGCTTTAATCCTTGCAGCTGAGCCCCTCATAAAGGAACCGTCACACAACACTGGGTGGCGGACTCATCAGGTCACATCACACTAGGCCAGTGTTTGGACACCGAGCTTTGATAAGGCAGCAGACATACATACTCAGCTTCTGACGGGGAGGATGCAGTTGGGTGGAGAGGGGGGAAAGGAAAAGGTTTGACT